TTAGTTCAAAAAGGGCATTGATTGACATCGCGTAGACAGCCATGGCAGACATTGCACAGGGAAATTAAAGGAGGTGTTCAGGACCATCTTCCCAATCAGTGTCGGGCGATGTCTTCCTGGTCGGTGTTAGGGAACATCCCTCTTATCACCATGGTAGTTTCTCCATGTCTTGAATATTAATTTGTTCTGTGATTCAAGGGCAAACAGGGACGAAAATTAAATTGGGCAAAAATTTCATATTTGTTAAATTGTTTACGAGTTCATGTAAACTTTTTATATGAAAATTAATATCTCAAAATTTAAATTGATTTTGTGATGAAATTATAAGTACCTGATGTATGAATAATTTGGAATTTCAGACCCACGCCTGTTTCAAATCTAATCAGATTATCAGGGGTAAAAGAATTTGCCGTGGACATAGTTGTGGTATATGTGCCTTGGCATGTAAAATGTGGAGAAAATTTAATAAAAAATTCTTCATTTATTCTGGCGTCAGCAGCATTACACGTGATTAAAAATATAACATTGAAGAGCTCATGATCAGGTGTTCGTTATTTTCAAGTTAGCAAGAGAAATTCTAATATTTTGTCAAAGATGTTATAACCTGTCAATTGAATTTTAAGAGCACATATATCAGGGAAACGGTGTTTACGAATGTCTGTAGTTTCACTTGTCACTGAGGTATACATGCCGAGTAATCTGGTATTGACATTTAATTTGCGCTTAAATGTATGTGTAGCTGTCATTAAAACTCTACTGAATCGGGGATGAATGGGAATATTTACCAACTTACACGGCAGGTTAAATTACTTGTCGTTGCTTCTTCATCAATACATTGTATTCAGTGTTGATGACATGTATTGCCTGCAGAGGAGAAACAAGTTTTCTTTGTAAATGATGATACTTGTAGACTTTTCAAAGTTTAAAGATATGCTTTTATTTCATTTTTACCATCATATTGGAACAAGTTATATGAACATATCTTAATCAATTTTGTTGGCTCTGAAGTTAGGGAGGAGGGGGTCTTAATGTGGGAGAAAACCCACTAGTTGGGCAGGTGATGACCTCATATACCATTTCATGTTCAATATGGGAGTCGAACCCTGGCCGCATTGGTGAAAGGCGAGTGTTCTATCCACTGTGCTACCTGACCACCCAATTCTAAAGTGAATATATAATACAGATTACAATGTATACAAAGAACTTGTACATGCAACACAAAACCTTCCTCACTGAATATAAATGATGGTTCAGCAATTTACATATTCCCTTACATATACTCTTCCTGTGATATTTTATACCTTATTTCAGTGGGGATATAGCCCAGTTGGGCAATGCACTGAAAAAGGGAAAAGCGCCCCGCCTCATCGTGGAATGAAATTAACCCAGTTTCAAAATGAAAATCAGCTACGATTTTGAATATTAATACCAATGATGACAGGGAAGTGATTGAATTTTTAATCAACCAATTTATAGCAGTAATATAGAAAAGATTTATTAACCCCCCAATAAAAAAAAATGGCGGCAGGATATAAATATATTAGAAACGGGGTATGTCTGTTGTCTGTTTGTCTGTCGGTGCAGTCACATTGTACATCTAGACATACCTGTGACTGCTACAGCGAGATCATTCTGACATCATCAATGATGCATCTATCGCTTAACTCCTCTACTGATGCACGACTGATTTCAGATGCTGAATTTCCATTCAAGCTTCAGTGACTTTAGTAAAATCGAAATGGTTTCATCCATACATCGGTATCATTATTTCGTCCATGTCTCGGTTGTTATACTACCCTTACCTATAAATGTCACATTGGTCGTACTTGCTGAACCTAATGGTTGGTTGACTGTTTCAAAGGTGTTTATTTTACCCGACATTTTCTGGAATACAGCTGATTCTTTTCCTCAGAGGAAATTAAAGCAGGGAGTCAGTGGTGAGTGAATTATGAATTCCAGTCATCCTGCTTTAGATATTTACTAAGATATATGGAGATATTCCTCTAAGTATATAAGCAAGAAACACAATGTATAGGTTTCACAGGCAGTTTTTTTTTTTTTTTGTTAAAATAATTTTAAATTGTTAATATTATTTAAATTGTTATTATAAAATTGTTAATTTTATTTAAATTGTTATTATAAAATTGTAAATTTTATTTAAATTGTTATTATAAAATTGTTAATTTTATTTAAATTGTTATTATAAAATTGTTAATTTTAATTAAATTGTTATTATAAAATTGTAATTAATATAATAAAACCAAAAGAGTCATGGAGAAACTTTTGGGAAATAACTACTTTAAAAACCCCCCAAAAAAGAGCTTGTTATAAAACTCATTTGCACATATCAAACTGTAACAAGAAGAAAATAACACCTTTGAAGATATTGCAATTGACACAGTGATAGTGAGAGGAAATATTACTAAATGAAGGAGCGGATAGTTATGAGGGAGTAGAATAACAATGTAGTTCATTAGCTGACTGGGAGTACGGCTGTGGGGACATTACTAGCATTTGATCATTATTTCCCCCAATTTTGAGATATTTTGATCAATGTTGTGCTTATTGGGATGTCATTGCTGGTGTCTCCATAACGACAGCAAGACATGGTTTACGCCATTAAGTGTAAGTAATGGAGTATCGAGGAAGGTGTCGTCGGTACATCGACGACACAGTGGACAGTTGCTCAGATTCATCTGTCACTTGATTGCCGTGCATTAGGGTATTGATGGCGTCTGATTATTGGACATGTGACCCAGACAGATTGACACTATTCCGCCACAGATATCGGGTCCTCCATGATGCTTGTCTGTATATAGATCTCATTCCCACTGATTACTGACGGCGAGAGGGCTGGCTACAAGAATTTGTATTTATCGTCGTATATGTTAAAATACAAACATTATAGCTCTGTAAAGCTATTTTTACGACAAATTGGCTATTATTACGATTATTGCTTGAGCTGACTTTCATCTGGTCATCAAAATGCTGATTCTCTTCGGTTATTTTTGCCATGGCAATTGCACTAGTTTAGAAAATCGAAATCAAATAAGTATGAATATATTCAAATTTATTGCCAGATTATTGCATATTCTAAAAAAGAACACTTTCAGTGTCTTTTTAGTGAATGCAATTTAGCTTTAACTACTGTATTTGAACCTGATAGAATCTTTTCACTCCTGTGTGATAAAGGTTGAAAATCTCAACCTGAGGGAAAGTTTTTTGAGGTTCAGCAGCTGGCAAAGCCTCATCCTGAATTTTGATATGGTTATTTTGTATAAAGTAATGATTTAATCATATTTTTCATAATTAAATAAGACGTGACCTGTCTTAAGTCTGTGTTGTCACCAAGTTTTGAAATAGGTGGTTGATTTGGAAAGAGCATATGCTGTAATGTTGACCTATACATACTCTGAAAAAAATAGCTGGTTCCAAGTTGATGAATAGCAGGCTACTTCTCCTGGAAACTTTCTTTAACTCATTTACCCCTAAAGATACATTTGAACTCTTCCAGTTCAAAAGAAGGAATAGTTCATAATGAAATTTTAGGGGTGAATGAGTTAAATGAGTACACTGAGAAGTTCTCTCCTCCTTTTCAGGTGTCTCTCGTTCGAGCCAGAAAGATCGGCTTGTCACATCAGGACTCGCCTGAAAATATTCCTCCCTCGAAACACTGCACTGTAAAATCTTGACCTATACATTTACTGAAAAACAATTAGCTGGTTCAAATTAATTAATGGTGAGGTACGTTTGTCGACAATGGGCTTTTAATGAGAACACTGGCATGTGTCCTGTTTTAGCTGTCATAACGATGGATGCTTATGGGCTGTGTGATGGCTTTTATTTTTAATGCTGTATGGGAGGTATTAAACTTGTGTATATAGTGTTGTGTAATATATCATAAATAGTGGCACTGTGTTGGTGACAGCGATTTTATGGTACTGTATATCGAATCTCTGTATGGTTTTATCGTCCATTAATAAATGTATACATGATGTAGCATGTTCTGTTAGGAAATAGATTCCTCTCATAAACCTTGTTCAGTACACTGTGTCATAATTGTATGGTGCGATAAAGACGGGTCTCCCTGCAAAACTGTGTTTTGTGTTCTGTTTCAGTTTGCAACCAAGTTATTCAGTTCAGACATAACATCTGACAACAAATCTTTGCATTAACCATTCTACCACTGTAGACCATAATGGACTCGTCCAAATCAATGCATAGGTGAGTCTACTACTAAAGTTAAAGATAAGATAAATCTTCACATGATATCCATATAAAAATGACAGAAATAACATTTTAAAAATTAAAAAAAAAAAAAAAAGAAATCACCAAAAACATGGAAAGATGATGAGGTTGAATGGGTAAAATACATGGCCAGGTAATTCATTCACCTGAAGACAATGTATGAGTCTAGATCTTATGTCACAGATTTTGATAGTCGGTGTACATGTGTTTCAATGTGAAAACTGTTAAATCAGATGTGGTTAGCTGGGTAATACAAGATAAACCTTCAAATTTGTTTCAGGTGTTTTAGTGCAGAAATAGTCCAATTGACTAGTCAAAACTCAAGACTAGTAAAATCTCTAGATGGACTAGAGCTAGTGGTTCTAGAAACCTCTAGTCCGATTGACTAGTCAAAACTTCATATTACTTACCATGTTGAAGAATATTTGGTTTGTGGAATTTGCACATTGACTAGTAAAATTAGAAACTACTAACCCAACTGACTAGTGGTTTTGAAAGTTAATTCATTCACCCCTGAAATCTCATAATGGACTATTCCAACCTTTAAATTGGAAGAGTTCAACTGGGTCTCCAGGGGGTGAATGAGTTAATTTCTAGCTCTGATAAAGTACACTTTTCTGTTTTCCACTTCAGGAAAGAAAAAAAAGCATGTTGTTTGATGATCAATGAAAAAAAATTATGATTGGAAATATTTATATTTGATGTGCTTTTATTATTAGCAAGTTGCTTAATGACAATTCTTTATATTCCAGATCGGCCATAGATACACATTCTCCTCTAAGTAAAAAGGAAAGGGTGGCTATAAAGAAGATCTCGCCATTTGAGCACCAGACATATTGTCAGCGGACCTTGCGAGAAATAAAGATTCTGACTAGATTTAAGCATGAAAACGTGAGTAAATGTGGAATTGATTTTAGTGGGTATTGTTTTATGACACAATGTAGTGTCATTGGAAACAGTGTGATGCAATTGGGGATCAATCTAGGTTTTAGGGGAATCTACCCTTGTTCAGATTTGGGGGAAATTAAGATTTTGTTACAAGGCTACAATAATGTAAAAGATAAATGTTTTGACCGACATACCTGTGTGCAGTTTATTACAATTTATTAACAATTTTAAGCTCAAAATTGTAGAATTGTTGTTTGAATTATGTAAAGAAAATGTTTATATGCAGTATTATGCTTTTTAACTGTTGAACTTTGAAGGAAACATAAATATATAGGAGAAATATTTTGAAGATAAAATGCTATTTTCTTGTTGAAATAGGGGAATTTTGAAGCACAAGGGGGGAATAACAAAGAACAGGAAAATTGCTTCTGTAGGGGAAACTACCCATAAACGGTAGTGAATCAAGTCTAGATTGATCCTAGGCAATGGATTGTCATTTAAAACTTGATGCAATGGTACGTCATATAAAACAAGATGGTTAATGGAATGTCATATCAATCAATATAACATAATGGAATGTCATATCAAACAATATAATATAATATAATGGAATGTCATATCAAACAATATAATATAATGGAATGCCATATCAAGCAATATAGTATAATGGAACATCATAAAACAATATAATATAATTGAATGTCATATCAAACAATATGATATAATGGAATGTCATATCAAACAATATGATATAATGGAATGTCATATCAAGCAATATAGTATAATGGAACGTCATAAAACAATATAATATAATTGAATGTCATATCAAACAATATGATATAATGGAATGTCATATCAAACAATATGATATAATGGAATGTCATATCGAACAATATAGTATAATGGAACGTCATAAAACAATATAATATAATTGAATGTCATATCAAACAATATGATATAATGGAATGTCATATCAAACAATATGATATAATGGAATGTCATATCGAGCAATATAGTATAATGGAACGTCATAAAACAATATAATATAATTGAATGTCATATCAAACAATATGATATAATGGAATGTCATATCAAACAATATGATATAATGGAATGTCATATCGAACAATATAGTATACTGGAACGTCATAAAACAATATAATATAATGGAATGTCATATCAAACAATATAATATAATGGAATGTTATATCAAACAATAAAATATAATGGAATGTCATATCAAACAATATAATATAATGGAATGTCATATCAAACAATATAATATCATGGAATGTTATATCAAACAATAAAATATAATGGAATGACATATCAAACAATATAATATAATGGAATGTTATATCAATCAATAAAATATAATGGAATGACATATCAAACAATATAATATAATGGAATGTTATATCAAACAATATAATATAATGGAATGTCATTTAAAACAATATAATATAATGGAACGTCATAAAACAATATAATATAATTGAATGTCATATCAAACAATATAATATAATGGAATGTCATATCAAACAAGATGATATAATGGAATGTCATATCAAACAAGATGATGCATTGGAATAAAGTTGTCCTGAGACAGTGTCCGGTAACATTACCTCGGGCAGGAGTGACTCTCTCCGAGAAATCCTGATTACACTAAGCTACATGTAGAATATTCTACGTTTTGTTGTGTGTGGTATGTGTAGGGATCGGTATACAAAGAAAATAAGTTCACCTCCACATACAGGTATCATAACCATCTTAACGTCATCAAATCAGTTGGGAGCTTGAGGTTCAAGCTAGTGTAGTAGCGTGCAATTAAAATACCAGAATCACGTTAGATTATCTTGGCTCGGGTGCTGCATTGGTCTAATTTGTCAATTAATCATAAAATATTCATGATACCTTGAAGGATAAATAATGGGCAAACAAAGATGATGGGGAGAATTTGAGTAATCTATATCGGTGAAGGAAGGATAAACTGTTTAGCAACATCTGTAGCCGAAGGTTATTGGGTACCAGGATAACAAAGTTGTTGGAAGTACACAAGCAACGAAGGTCTGTTATATTAGTGATGGGCCGCGAGATCAAGTTACTACAGTTCATGTCTGATTATATTTGCTATCAGTTTTGAAGATTATTTTCTTTTGATAACATGATATTGCTCATCAAGGCAGTGTGCATTCCTCAGTGCGTGAATGACATGTGAAAGAATTCTTTAGGATATATATTGTAAACATTGTCAATGACGCATCACACTTTGAACATGTTGATAAATTTCAATCCAAGATACTTGGATAAAAGTGTTTATATGTAAACTTGATATCAGAATGTAGCGGTTTAAGTTCTTAGCTGTTAAAAGGGGTTATTCTTGCGGATAGAGACAACAGCTTGGGTATATGATGTTTTTGGTGTAGATTTTGTTATGAAATTGGTTCAACATGAAACATTTGTGTAACATACAAAAAGCGTAGATCTTGCTGAGCGTACAAAAAGCTGTCAGTGGCTGCTAATGATGCTGACAGCAGGCGAGCATTACACAGACCACGCGATCTGTCCTGTATGATTTAGATCAGCGCAAAGCCTGGCATCATTGTCTTGTGTAATTTCAAACAGATTTTCCTAGGTTGGCTAAGATTTTCTCCTTTAAATTTCCCTGTCTGGGATATGAAGAAGACTTGTTGTTCTCAGCTCTTTTCTTTTCTTTTTGATCTAGGATCTTGGACCTTGGAACTTAGTTATCATTAAATTCAGGAAGTCTGCTTCTTTACCCAATTCACCCCTCAAGTCACATTTGAACCTTACCAAATCAAAGACTGGGCAAGTCAAGTTTAAATATGTAGGGGTGAATGAGTAAGATATATTCTTCCTGTTCAAAAACAACTAAAAACTATTTCCTGTAGGAAAGACTACTAGCCCAGAGTAGCTAAAATAATTTTGACCAAATTTGATATGAAGCATTCTTTGTATCTGGGCTTTCTTTTTTTCTGTAAATAATGGGAAAATAATGGGGACGGAGAGTCGGGTGGAGGGAAGTAAATACATAAAAAGGCCCGGATTTTTTGAATTTTTTTTTTTGAATTTATTATAAATATGACAACAGGAAATTGAACAAAAATTAACAATTATAATTTAAAAAATATCATATTGAAAATTTCTGATTCAATGTAATTTCCAGTACGAGACATACCAAGTCATCAAGTTTTTGAAATGCAGACAGATACTGACTAAGCAACCAATCTTAAGACAAGAATATCTGATAGCTCTCATATGTTCAGTATCAAACTCCATGTATGTAACTCACAAACTGTATGTAGCAATACAAACAATTGTATTTATGAAGCAGTATTGACAACTGTATGTGTATATGAAGCAATACAGACAACTGCATTTATGAAAGACAAAGACAACTGCATTTATATATAAAACAATACTGACAACTGCATGTTTATATGAAACAATACAGACAACTGCATTTATAAAAGACAAAGACAACTGGATTTATCTATAAAACAATACTGACAACTGCATGTTTATATGAAGCAATACAGACAACTGCATTTTTATATAAACAATACAGACAAATGTATTTATATATGAAGCAATACAGACAACTGCATTTTTATATAAAACAATACTGACAACTACATGTTTATATACAGACAACTGCATTTATATATAAAACAATTCAGACAACTGCATTTATATATAAAACAATACTGACAACTGCATGTTTATATCAAACAATACAGACAACTGCATTTATAAAAGACAAAGACAACTGGATTTATCTATAAAACAATACTGACAACTGCATGTTTATATGAAACAATACAGACAACTGCATTTATATATAAAACAATACCGACAACTGCATTTATATATAAAACAGTACAGACCACTCCTCGCATATTTTAAATAATACAGACAACTGCATTTATATATAAAACAATTCAGACAACTGCATTTATATATAAAACAATACAGACAACTGCATTTATATATGAAGCAATACTGACAACTGCATTTATATAAAAAAACGATACAGACAACTGCATGTGTATATGAAACAATACAGACAACTGCATTTATATATAAAACAATACAGACAACTGCATTTATATATAAAACAATACAGGCAACTGCATTAATATATGAAGCAATACAGACATCTGCATTTATATATAAAACAATACAAACAACTACATGTTTATATACGGACAACTGCATTTATATATTAAACGATACAGACAACTGCATTTATATATTAAACAATACAGACAACTGCATTTATATATGAAGCAATACAGACAACTGCATTTTTATATAAAACAATACTGACAACTACATGTTTATATACAGACAACTGCATTTATATATAAAACCATACTGACAACTGCATGTTTATATACAGACAACTGCATTTATCTATAAAACAGTACAGACAACATCATGCATATATGAAGCAATAATGATGTATTGTATTTATATATAAAACAATACTGACAATTGCATTTATAATAAAACAATACAGACAACTGCATGTATTATATGAGCAATACTGACAACTGCATGTATGTATGAATCAGTACTGAAAACTGCATTTACATATAAAACAATACTGACAACTGCATGTTTATATGAAGCAATACAGACAACTGCATTTATAGTTAAAACAATACAGACAACTGCATTTATATATAAAACAAAACAGACAACTCCTTGCATATATTAAATAATACAGACAACTGCATTTATAAAAGACAAAGACAACTGCATTTATATATAAAACAATTCAGACAACTGCATTTATATATAAAACAATACAGACAACTGCATTTATATATAAAACAATACAGACAACTCTTTGCATATATTAAACAATACAGACAACTGCATTTATATATAAACAATACAGACAAATGTATTTATATATAAAACAGTACAGACAACTGCATTTATATATGAAGCAATACTGACAACTGCATTTATAT